ATGAGAGTGTTCACATGTGTATACAACATTAATAATTTTGTAACTAGCGTCAAACATTGTTATTTGCTTAGCTAAACGAACTAGAGGGTTCAGTTCCTTAACCTTCAATCATAGCTACCTATGTGCTTTAATATACTGTACCTATAATTTTCTCTCATCTTTTTTTTTTTTTCATTCCATGTAATCTGTTATCATTTTTTTGTCTATAAATTTTGCAAGTATTTACCTCCTTAAAATTTTCTTAGATTAAGGACCTGCCCGAAACGCTGCGCGTGCTAGTGGCTTTACAAGACTGTAATTACCATAATTGTATCCTCACATTCCTTATGTACATTCTTGTATATGCATAAATAAATAAAAAATAAATAAAATAAAATAAACCTATTATGTGCCTCTGTAATCCTTTACACCACCGCCCACGGGATGGGTATGGGGTGCATAATAATCATGCCATGATCCAAGCACTACCACGAAGGAAACACGAGATTAATGAGAGCAAAAATAAAAATACTGACGCCATAAAAGAACTACAGGAGGATCAAAAGGTTCAAATTCAAATCTTTATTCAGGTAGAGGACATACATACAAGAGGTTATACAAAAATTGATAAATTTATAGCTAGAGCTAGTACATACAATGCCTAAAGCCACTATTACGCAAAGCGTGTCGGGCAGGAAAAACATTAAAGACTAAAACTTAATACTAATTGAGATTAAAGCATAAAATGTGTTGAGAACAAATAAAAATAAAAAAGGGGGAACATGGCAGAAAAAACAGCACAAACACAATTAGGTCGACAAACAGCGTTGTTTAAAAAATAACAGACATGGGTTGACAATATAGGGGTAAGGTAGGTTACAAGGAATTTATTAAGTAGTGCTTAGTTTTTATCTTAAACTGGTTGAGAGAGGTACAGTCTTTAACATGATTGGGAAGGTCATTCCACATTCTGGGTCCCTTGATTTGTAGAGCATTTCTAGTTTGATTAAGTCGTACTCTTGGAATATCAAAACGGTATTTATTTCTGGTGTGGTGCTCATGGGTTCTGTTACAACCTTCAATGAAGCTTTTGAGGTCAAGATTGACATTACAGTTCAGCGTTTTGTATATATATAAAACACATGAGAGGATGTGCAGTGACTTAATATCTAACATATTCAGAGATTTGGGGTACCGAGTGATGTAGGGGTACCGAGTGATGTCTGGGGCCAGAGTTGGATATTGTTCTAATAGCAGCTTTGTGTTGAGTAATTAGAGGATATAAATGATTTTGGGTAGTAGAACCCCAAGCACAAATACCATAGTTGAGATATGGATAGATGAGGGAGTAATAGAGCGTCACCAGGGCAGGGTGAGGTACATAATATCTGATCTTAGAAAGAATATGTGTTCTTGTTGCAAGGTTTCAATGGCGGTTCTCGAATCTGTATGTATGACATGTTGTCGGTGTTCAGCAAGAGCATGTTCCAAAGCCTTTTGGAATGGCTAGTATCTCTGTTTGTAAAGTCGAACACCCATTTGAGAGTCTCCAACTATTTACAGAGTTTCATGCTTTAACTGCAGCTCCTCTAATTTATGTCCTCTATCTACGTCCTCTAATTACTCATCACAAATCTATTATAACAATAACAAACTCTGGTCCCAAACAGCACCCGGTACCCTTACTTAAATCTTTGAACATGTTAGATATTAATTCACTGCACATCCTCTCAAGTTTTCTCATAAAAACTAATAATAAACTCCATGTAACCTACCTGACCCCCTTAATGGAGCAGCACGCACCTCACTGCCCGTAATGTATATTGTTGTTATAGATTTCGCGCAAGTCCTTAATCCTACGTTCCCTGGAATACGACCCCCGGCGAAGAATCGTTTTTAAAACCAAGTACCCATTTTACTTTTGGGTTAAGCAGAGGCTACAGTTCGATTATTTATGTTGAGGATGATAAGAGTTTCAAGTGCTTATTGCGTTGTGCTGTAGATAGAGGAGCGGCGACCAAAACAGAAGTGGGTGTTAGAGGGAGAATACTTCATACCCAAGACTCTTCTACAAACTAGAGGTATTGTCAGGCAACATCACCGTGACAAGGTAACTGAGGAAAGGAGGATAGAAGCACAAACCAGTGAATCTGTACGATGGTACAATATGGTTGCAGCTGGCAATCCCAATCATTATGGACGAAGAGAAGGAGGCCGCGGGGGAGAATCAGTAATAGCGAGAATCCGCCTTGGATACAAATATCCATGGAGATACGGAATGGAAACAACAGTTATAATGATAATAATAATAATAATAATATTTTATTTAGGAAAAGTACATACATAGATGCAGAGTTACAAACATTCTGATTGATTTATATATAGAGGTAGTACATACAATACCTAAAGCCACTAGTACGCATAGCGTGAGTTGCTGCTTGGCTGGTGGTGACGTAGCACACTTGCGATGGGGGTCCCTCTCCCTCCTGTGTTGAGAGTAAACTCCGTGGGACTGGAGTTTACGGGCCGTGTTGGCTATCCTTTAGTTGAGCTTGTCATGTGTGACATGCTCCGTGCTCCGTGTCCCGGTCGACGACGTCTACGGGATTGAGCTGGTAACTGCTCACCGGGTTATTATCAAGTTGGCGGGGGAGGAGGTGTACCGTGCTTTCCTCCGCCGTTACGAGGGGCGTTCCTTGTCGCTGCCAGATGATTCCGGCTCTGTGACTATTACGGACCGTAGTGGTGCCCTGACCTACGTGAGTGTGCACGGGGCGCCCTTGGAGTTTCCCGAGCAATTACTCAGGCGTTAATTCCAGCAGTTTGGCGCAGTCGTCAGTGTGCGGGTGCACACGCTATCCTCAGGGATGTATAAGGGTATGCGGACGAACATTCGTACCCTTGGGATGCGCCTGAGGTCTGACATCCCTTCTTCTGGGTGTAAGAGGGGTCTTTACCATGTGGGACCCGCCAAAGAGGAAAGGATGGATGGAACGACACGAGGACACATTACTTACAAACAGGAAACTTGTAAGATACATCCTAAGAGAAAAGGGAAGGTGAAACGGAGGAGGTTATCTTGAGGTTATCTTGAGATGTTTTCGGGGCTTTAGTGTCCCCGCGGCCCGGTCCTGGACCAGGCCTCCACCCCCAGGAAGCAGCCCGTGACAGCTGACTAACACCCAGGTACCTATTTTACTGCTAGGTAACAGGGGCATTGGGTGAAAGAAACTCTGCCCATTGTTTCTCGCCGGCGCCCGGGATCGAACCCGGGTCCACAGGATCACAGTCCGGCGTGCTGTCCGCTCGGCTCCTCAAAAGTCAGGAATGGATAGTAGTAAGAAAGGAGGAATGATAGTAGAAAGGAGGAATGATAGTAGTAGATGAGAACTTCCAGGTGACAAAGTCGTCTGTCAAATCAGTGACCGGAGACTGGAGACTACCAGCAAAGGTGATCCAAAGACTGCTTGATGGGGTTCAGAGAGTAGTTCTACTCCTCAAGCCCGACCCAAGGCCTTGCTTGATTTGAGAGAGCTTGATCCACCAGGCAGTTGTTTAGAGCGGCCTGGTTGGTCCGGCACTCCTTGAAAATATCTAGTTCTCTTGAAGACGTACTGCTGTTCCTGCAATATTTCTTATACTCGCTGGGAGGATGCTTAACAATAGTAGACCTCTGATGTTTGTACAGTGTTCTGAGCTTATGGCACCCCTGCTCTTCACTGGTTCTATTCTGCATTTTATATTAATTTATTTATATACAAGAAGGTACACACAGAAATCACAATTGCGTGATGCATCAAATGAACAAATCCACGGCCCTTGTGGATTTGTTCATACAAAAAGGTACATTGGGGGTTAACAGAACATAGAAATTAAGTTGATTTTACATTTTTGTAAAGCCACTAGCACGCATAGCGTTTCGGGCAAGTCCTTAAACCAACAGATAATTTTTAAGACAATTCATAGTAATATTGACAAAAAAATGTTTACAGGTACTTTACAGCTTTACTTTACAGGTACATTTTCTTCCATATCGTTCACTCTAGTACGTTATTTTACTGTGTAGATTGGGACCTGTCCCTCCAGTATTTTCCAGTGTATATTTGATCTCTCTCGTCTCCAACGCCACTTTCTCGTTTGTCTCGACAACGGCACTCTCCTGCACCGTGGAAGATCCCTCTTTCCACTAAAGAAGCAAATTGAGAGATCAGCCCAAGCTTCGTCTTGGGACAAAGCTCAACGCCAATTAAGTCATTGATGCTGTCCACAAAGCATTCACTCGTCTCTTCTCCTTTCTAGAGTACATTTGGAGAGCTTTGAGACTATCCCAATCATTTAGGTGCTTATCGCGTCTTCTCTGTACTCCATCTATTTCAACAATCTCTTCTGCTCTGGAGGAAGAGTACCGAGCAGTACTTAAAACGGGCAGCACAAGTGATTTAAAGAGTACAACCATCGAGAGGATATCCCTAGGTTTGGAAGTTCTTATGCCATCCTAACTATAAACTAACTGGCTGACGCAATATTTGCTTGGTTATGCTCCCTAAACGTTAGGTTTTCAGAATTATTCCCAGATCTGGTAAGATTTCGATTTGGCTAGTTAAGTTTAGACTAACTAGCTAAATCTTCCACGACAGACGAAGCCTGTTCGTACAGGACAGGCATTTGCATTGGTAGTGCAGTTTAAGCTTACCATATGGCTTGCTCAAGTTTGGGCTCTGAAGCACAGGAATACCCCCTATCAGGGAAGCACAGCGTTGGCAGACGCGTTGCTCCCACTTTTCAACCAGTCTGATGAATACATTCAACACTAATGCAAAGACCCACCTAGCACACAAGCCTTCCTTGTGGATGGCCCAATGGCTAATGTATTTTACAAAACTACAGCCACGTTGACATCTTTTTTTCCAAAGGTACAACGCCCGGACGTTAGGTTAGGCATCCAACTAGTCCCAGAACGTCGTACACGAGCCACTACGGCTTTGGCAGAATACACAATTTAGGAAAATGAATGAACAAAGTAAGGTTATAGAAACAGAAGTTTATTTGTTGCCAATTTCCATTTAAAAGTTTCCTTAGCACACTGTTACAAAGTTTTTTTAGTATTTTATAGATGGTACTGTTATGGGATTTTTCGCCCGTTGTTAGGGCATTTTCAGTTTTTATATAAAGGTTTTACATTTTGTTTACCATTTGTTTTTAGACTAAAAACTGGCATGTCGGAACTGATCAACTAAAACCGGCTTCCTTGCTATTCACTCTTGGTTGACATTGTTCTGACCTGCCTTGTTGAAGTGCATTATAATGAACAGAAAGGTTACATTATAAGCATCTTCAGTTATAGTAGGTTACTTGTCTTAGATTTTTTTGGTTTATTTTACGATTTTTTTTTAGATTTTTTGTTTATATTTAACACCTACTTGACAGACTGTTCACGTGGTTGTGGTCGAACCTAAACAATTATGCCATATCTATTGGAGTCAAAACAGCGTGCAAACAATAACTAATGGCCTTTACTATAACCAATAGACCTTTAAAAAATTGAAAATAAAATTAAAACTCCAATGACAGGGCACAAGTCGAAAACTAAATCAAGCAAAGTACTGCAGCAAAAATGTTTGATGGTAGGGACTGCATGATGAAATTTACATGTCTTCTTTCTTCTGGGCTGCTACAGCCACAGCTACGACTTGTTGCTTAGCTTGGTGAGCCTGCAACACTGCCACTGCTTCTTCAACCTTGGCTTTGAGAGAATTGCGATCCTCCAGCATATGAAGGAGATCAGAATTATCAATTTCCAGCAACATGCCTGTAATCTTTCCTGCAAGTTCAGGGTAAATTTCACGAATAAGTGGGAACAAACGCTCCCCAAGCATCTGTTTCTGCTCCTGGGGCATGGCAGAAGCCAACATTGATGGTGTAAGTGGCTCCTGGCCTTGAATATGGACAGCAGGTTGGGTAACGGGAGCCACAGCGGCAGCAGCAGCTGGCCCACCACCTGAAACTGTAGGAGGATTACGCATGTTGTTGGTGTATTTGTAGTTGGAAGCTCTTGCAGCATTAGAGAGCGCACTAGGTGGTGGTACTCCTCCAGCGTTTGGTGCAACAGGCCTAGCTGCCTGAAGCAAGTTTGGAATTTGCTGCTGTTGAGCAGCTGCAGCAGCAGCAGCCATAGGACGGACACTGCGGGGACCTGGCTGCGCTTGACGAGGAGCAGACCTGAAGGGTGCTGCCTGCATGGGAAAAGCAGTGGTTGCCTGAGCACCTGCTCGCACCTGTGCAGCAGGTTGAGCAGGCCAGCGTGGGGTAGCTCTAATTTGGGCCATTTGTGGTGTATAGAATCGTTGAGCCTGAGGCATGGTTGGCATGAAGTAACTAGTGCCACCAGGTTGGAACATTTGTCCCATCTGTTGCATGCGCATCCCAGCAACACGTTGCATGTACTGCGAAGCAAGATGTGCCTTACGATCTTCACGACGTTGTGCCAAGGCAACATATAGGGGCTTACTAACTAAGATTCTCCCGTTCATTTCTGTAACAGCACGTGTTGCTTCCTCTGGGGTGGAGAAGCAAACGAATCCAAAACCCTTGGAACGCCCATCTTCAGTCATTACCTTGGCACTGGTTATTGTACCATAGTTGGAGAATTCCTTGCGCAACCTTTCATCATCAATGGTGTCATCCAGGTTCTTGATATAAAGGTTGACACCCTGGTATCTGTTCATGCGCTCAATCTTCATCATCTCGAATTTCTTTTTCAATTCAGCTTGTCTTTCCCCTCGCTTCTGGGCTCTTCCTACATAAATCTGTTTGCCATTCATTTCTTTGCCATTGAATTCATCACATGCCTTTTCTGCAGCTTCAGGTTCTTCAAATGCAACGAAGCCAAAACCTTTTGACTTGCCATCCTCGTTGCACATTACTCTATGACTGGTAATCTTGCCAAATGCCGAGAAAACTTCGTACAGCTTTTCATCGTCTAGGTCATCTCCGAAGTTCTTCACGTACACGTTAGTGAAACGCTTAGCCTTCTCTCCTAACTCCTTCTCACGTTCTGCCCTAGGGATGAACTTCCCTACATAAACCTTCTTGCCATTAAGCAACATACCATTGACTTTTTGGATGGCATTTCTAGCTGCTTCCTCTGTCTCAAAATGAACAAAACCATAGCCTTTGGAATTTCCAGCCTCATCAGTAGCAACCTGCAACAGAAGATAATAACCATAAATAATTAATCCTTTGTACATTAAAATTTGTACAGTGTTGGTTGGAGATATGGATGTAGATTTTAGGAATTTTCGGAACGTGAAAGAACTCTTGGTGGGACATCGAGTGTGACGAGGAAGGCTATGGGGGTCTGAAGGTAGGAGGGGAAGGAGGCCCATCTTTGTTGGCAATAAACCTACAACTACTGGCAGGGATTTTATTGATTTAAAAATTATAATGGTTGCCACTGGTCTTCATTGTAAGAGCTATCAGTGCAAAAACGAGTCTCAAGATTGTGACAATTACTATGTAACTACATTATGCATTCCAATAACAGCCAGGCTTTCACAAGTATCAAGTTTCAAGTTAATACAATGAAACCGAGAAATTGTAATTGAAAAATTTGATATTCTAGTGAAAAAGATGAACCCTTTGGAGATAAATTTAATTCTGCAGTCTGTGATAAAGACAAAATACAATATTAATGCACCAAAAATGAAAAATTTCAGGATATCTATGAAAGCAATCAGCAAAATAAGGCACTAAGCTGGACAAAAAAACTTAAAACTGGGATACCAAAAAATGCAGTTGGGCTAAAACAATTTGCCTCCAGGTAAAACAGAACAGCTACAACAGAGGTCTTGGTGCCAAATGCAGTATGAATGCAAACCTCCAAATCCACCAGGACATTTGTGCTGTGACTTGTTAAAAGTCAAATTGAGGGGGATGGGGGTACAACTGAACCATACAATACATATTTCCACATGATAATAAAGATTATATAACTAAACAGGATTAAAGAATGAATAAATAGGAATGATAAGAATGAGATTATAGTCTTTAGGGGCAGGTGGTGCTTTGTGCCATTTCTTTACAGGAAGAATAACTGCCTCATGCCAGTCCTCGACATCCCAAATGTATTTATAAACACATACTATAAGGTGTACACACAGATGGAGAAGCATTTCAATGCATACTGCCATGGAATTGTAAAGGGACAAGACACTAGTTCAGAAAAGGTCGAGGTTGTTGAAGAGAAGCTTAAAGAGTGCAAAGGTTTAAGGGACCAAACTCATTGGGACTTGCAGGTACGAAGACCAATTAGAAGCAATGACCTAGAAGTGCAGCACTCCTTCATAACCAACATCATATCATGAACAACCATGTAGATGAACAACCATGTAGATGAACAGCCAACCTTACAGATCCACTTCCAGATACTAGGAAGGGGGGGGTATCAACAGTAATTTGACTTGTTACTTCTAATGTTTAACTACACAGATGACACCATGTAGCACTGTACAAGGCTTCCAAAACATTGATTCGGGCATCTTTTGGTATGTGTGTTTTCCCCAGACTGCATGTTTACAGCAAACAGTGCAAGCACAATCCAAATATGGCAAAGAGTAAGGAATGGAGGGCAGCATCTAGCAAGACGAGCTGAAGAGGAACAAGATGGGGAAAGGAAGATTAATCAGCAAGCAGCAGCAAGTGGCAAAGATTCCAGCCAGCCATCAAATCCCCACTGGAAGAGGCTGGAGGGTAAGGACAGGCTTTCTTATCTTTTGTGGAGAAAGAGGGAGAAGGATTAGGTTCACACAGACAAGCTGCAAGAGATTAAATGTACTGTGCAACTGCCTCCACAATCTCTACCAGAGGAAGGCTGATGCAGCCAGGATAACGGGTGACATCAGCCCTATTGGTCAGTGTCCAGATAAGGCCAAAAAGAGAGGTGGGAAGGTAAAGGAGCTATCAGAGGAAAGCACCAAGCCATTATGACTATATAGCACTAGGAAGAGATCAAGATAAGCATTTGGGATGGGACAAGGGAAAGGAATGGTGCCCAGCCACTTGGGCAGTCAGATTGAATGCCAAACTGCAGAATGCCTTCACTACTGTCCAGCCCAAGTGGTTGGGAGGGCAACGTGAAGAACAAGACCCCCAGAGGCTGGAAGGGGTCACACTTCAGATACACAAGGGCATAGGTTGAAAAGTACAAGTAGGGCAGACGGGTGGAGAAAAAATACAGAACACTGCATTAGATCACAGGAGCGTGTGAAAGTGAGCTAGTGGAGGTAGGTGTCAGGATCTAAAACTGAGGATGTGAAGGAAAGCGGACCGTGAACGAAAGCAGGCCAATGGTAACATGTCACGAGCATAACTTGTCAAAAAGGCTAAGCAATCTTTTATTGGCATCTTGCCTCAGGGAAGGAAAGAGGGTTGCCAAGAGGGTTTTGGGGGTTATGTTTACAATTCGCTTCACTTCCAATCATGAAGTCAATAGGTGAACACTGTTGCAGTAGACAATCAGGACAACCTTAGAGGACAGAACTCCCCTAGGTAAGGAAATTATGCAAAACTGTGTCCAACCACTGACAATATAATCAAATGCCATCCATGCAAGAAACATTTCTCTACCAAGTGGAAGCACCTAATACGCTTGTGCAGTACTCTAAATGTACCACATGCAGGAAAAGGGTTAGCATCATACAAACCTTTTACAAGTCATACTAACCTTACAACTGAGAATATTGCCAAAGGCTGAAAAGGTGTCATACATGGCTTTGTTGTCAATTGACTTGTCTAGATTTTTGATGAAAACATTGCCAACTCCAGATTTTCGAAGCGAGGGATCACGCTGTGACCACATGATACGGATGGGACGACCCTTCATTACATCAAAATTCATCGTGTCCAGTGCACGCTCAGCATCTGCCGGTTGTTGGAAGTTGACATATGCATAGCCCAAGGAACGACGGGTGATCATGTCTCTGCACACACGGATAGACAGCACAGGGCCAGCAGAGGAGAACTGTAAAAAATTGGACGAGGTTAAGGAAACTTGTATCTAAATGCTAGGCTCGGCAAATCCCTTTACATAATTATACACGGTGCATTCCCTATTTGTAACAGTACATAGTATTCTAAGATATGAATAAAACGTGTTATCTTGAGGTTAGAGATGATTTCGGGGCATAGCGTCCCCGCGGCCCGGTCTTCGACCAGGTCTCCTTTTTGTTTCACATCCCCAGGAAGCAGCCCATAGCAGCTGCAACTCCCAGATACGTATTTACTGCTAGCTGAACAGCGGCATCAGTGAAAAACTTTTTGTCCTGTGCCTCCATTGGGTAGTACTTTTTATCAGTGAACCATTAAAAATAAGTTAGAAGACTGGGGTTCCAAGTTGGAGTAACATTCAAGGACTAGCCATGTACATCTATTCTAAAAGGTTTGTTTCCAGTTCTATAAAGCCAGCCATATATTTACTAGTTTTGCATAGGTTGCCATGTTATTGTTAATGTGCACCACCATTGAGGGTAGCAGATACACATGATTTTGGATGCAGTGCAGGATGCAATGTCAATTTTTTGACATTGCACCTACCTCCCTTTAATTCAATTATGTACCGGTCTGATCACCACTGCATTTAGATTTTATTTTTTACATTTAGTATTTTCCTAGTTAAGAGTGCTTTCTCCAACTTTTTAGACAAGTTTTTGGGGGGACAGTGTCAAAGGCTTTGACAAAATTAAATAACTCTTAACTGCATCTGTTAATTGTACATGCATTTCACACTAAACTATGGCCTCTTTCAGAGTAAGAGTCTCAAATTTGCCTAGAGACAAGGGCTTTGCAAAATCAAATGCAATTTGATTTTGCATTTGCATTTCATAAATTTTCTTGGCAATAAAGATAATTTAAGGGAAGGGTAGTATACAAGAACTTTTGAATAATTCCTCTCACCAACTGCATCTTACGTAGCAGTAAATAGATTTCCAAGAGTTAGTCATTATGTTGCAGAGGCATTGTGGTAAAATGCTATGCAGCATCCATAGTAAAACTTAAGATCTTAGAAGCTTATCATAGAAGGGCGATTTGAGCAGCATATGCAGGCCTATTATCTCAAAATAGGGGTGGGGGCACAGGCAAGTTATGAAGACTAGGGGGGGGGGGGGTGTAGGAAGTCACAGGTGCACATTTGTTCAATAGATATTTTTCAGGGTTTTTAACTACACTATTTGATTACTCCATGACCAGTGTCTGGCACGACACCTGGAACCCCTCACAATCATAAGCTTGCCAGTATTGTGTTATTGGCAAAAATGGCTGGTGACAGCATTAGTTTTATACAAAAAAATAAAGCCTTCATTTTTATGAATGCATGATACTTATGTTTCAGGATCAACTTTTTCATGTGGATGTAAAATCCTTAAATTGTAGAATGACCAAGTTCTAAAAAACAGTGAATATGGGATAAAACTGGAGCCACAGGAACCCATTAGCCATCATGCTGCGTCGAGTTTGTGAAATTCCCCGTGCGCATTGCAAAAAATCATTTTTTTCTTCGTAAAATGATAAATTCCCTTCCCTGAACAAGTCTATAAAAATAAATACCAAATTCCACTTACTTTGGCTGTGGGGACGTGGATAAGGTGCGCTGTGACGTCATCAGGGCCTGGTCGCCCGTGCATGAATCGCCCAGACACGGTCGCGCGGGCCATTCAAGCACCAGGTGTTGCCGGTGTATATTTTCAATTATTTGTTCTATGTATTTCCAATGAGGTTTTATTTGTTTATCATATATGATGCATATTTGTGTCCATTACAATATGTATACAGTAGAACGTTCATAATGTTCCATGGAACTGTGATACATGTATCAGTTATGTGTCCACAATAAATGTTTATTGTCACAACATTACTTGTTAAATTAAGATGCAGAAAAAATCTAGGTAACATCTTCATTTGTCAGATTCATCCAAAGATACCCAGGGGAAGGGGAGTCAATTTGTGCAGACAATTTTTATGCTTTACTGTTTCCAGATACAATATGGCTGTAGGAGCTCTTGTGTGCCCAAACAGGACAGTACTAAACTTGTGTAGCAAGTACCTCACCTTGTACTATTTCCAAGAGTCAAAGTCCCCAGGGTATGGTCTCTGGCCTTGTTAGCCAGGCTGTCAGATGCCTGGTTGATCAGGTATCCTTTGAAGGTGTTTAGCAATTTCTTTTAAACACCATGAGAAGTTAACCAGTTATGCCCCTCATGTTCAGAAGTGTTGAAGTGTCCAGCCCTTGATGCTGACAATTCTATTAGTAAACCTGCACCTCTTTCAAAGGGGATATTTTTCACTTCCTTCCATGCCTCCTGGTCTCGTGTGATATTTTCATGTGCAAATCTGGAACCAGCCACCCTCTATTTTTCCTAGTTACCAACTACAGTACCTAGTGACTAACAAAAAATCCTCCCCCTCAAGCAATCAACGTCGGCCAACAATACTTTGAATATTACGCTCTGACACTAACTTCCCGCCCAGCACACGCATTTCATAATTCAAGCTGAGCAAGTCTCCCCCCCACCCCCCTCACAGCAGACATCAGACCCGAATAGTAAACACCACCCTCCGTTAGCTTCATTAAAAACTACACTAGGCAGCTGTTAACTGCACACCAGTTTGTCAAACCTAGCCAATCACTGAAAGACATGGGCCAGTTAATTGCCAAGATGTTTACAAATTCAACTGACAAGTCAGTGAAGTCAGTATTATTTTTGTGTAAGATGTTAGCCAATTATTTAGCACGAAATTAATAACTTGTGAAAGTTTTACCAGCACACTTATTAATGATTCTGACAAGTTTCTTATAAACATTACTAAGTTATACCTTCAGATTTAAGACCCTTCAGCTACAAATTATATTTACTATCTAACATTAAGAATGCCATAAGTTGAACTTACACAGCAATTTTGAACTGTTTATATAACTATTCGTGAAGATTGTCAAACTATTAAGTACAGATTTAAATAATCACTTTAAATTGTCAGCCTTTCATTGATATTATGTAGAACAAGTTGTAAAAATTACCCTGAAGCAAGTTGGCCTTTAGTGGAGGATTTGTAAATGTTTGCTTGTACTGTATTTAAATAACACTGCACAACACAAGAAGATTACACATGCTCACAGTCTTAGCATCTTAGGGAGTGGTTGCTTGCAGTCGTGGTACCTTACCTTGAAGTTACCTTGAGGTGCTTCCGGGGCTTAGCGTCCCCGCGGCCCGGTCGTCGACCAGGCCTCCTGGTTGCCAGACTGATCAACCAGGCTGTTGGACGCGGCTGCTCGCAGCCTGACGTACGAGTCACAGCCTGGTTGATCAGGTATCCTCAGGTATGGTATGAGTGGTTGTTGATGTGGAGTTTGTGGTTTATTGTAATGGTGATCATGGTATTCTGTGGTTAAGAGATTGATCAGGTTACCATGTTCAGGGGAGGGTGTGAGAATGTTGGGCTTCACTAGCATTTAAAAAAAATTGTTAGACCTGCCAATCCATATGGATGAAAAATTTGACTATCAATACAACTTAACCATGTGAGAATGTCAAATAATAGTTATTTTACAAATATTCAACCTTTTACTATAGTCACTTTCTCCAAGCCAATAGAACACAAAGTAAAACAAATTGTCTGATTTTGGGAGTAACGAAGATTTTCCGACTTAAAACATATGGCTTGGTTATTATTTATAGTAAATACCGGACTGTATAGCTCAAGTCGCCAGCGGGTGAGGAGACAACACTGGACGGGTGATCCTGTGGTCCCGGGTTCAATCCCAGGTGCCGGCGAGAAACAATGGGCAGAGTTTTTCACCCTGATGCCCCTGTTACCTAGTAGTAAATAGGTACCTGGGAGTTAGTCAACTGTCACGGGCTGTTACCTGGGGGTGGAGGCCTGGTTGAGGACCGGGCCGCAGACACACTAAAGCCCCGAAATCATCAAGATGACTTCTTGAGGTTATTCCAAATTAAATTTTATATCTAAGCTTTGTGTATAATTATTTTCACACTTCAACCCATTGAGTAATAAGAAAAAGGGGGAAAAGTAGAAGTAACGAACTTTTGTCAAGATAAAACACTGCATGCACTCACTATTTACTATGCAATATATGAATGCATACACTGTAAATTCAATTAGAAAAATATTAATAAAAAAAGTTTACAAATTTGAGTTTGTAGGTTTATAGTTTAACTTTCCATAATGGTTTTGCACATTTCCTAAACATAACATTAGCAATGCTAAGCAGAACACATCAAGACTCAATGTGCTTCTGTACATAAGACCTGCTACACTAGGCCTAGGAGAGGTTAGGGCATTGCCTTAATTCTCATGCATTTTTAACAGTACAAATTTTTTTATTACCACAAGTGCCCTTATTTGAACAATCCAGTCACTATACGTGAACAGTACTATGAATAAATCCACATGGGCCGTGGATTTATTAATGCGTGGACACGCATTAATCGACTAAGCCACGACCCCGTCAAAAGAATTGCAACAGGCATTGCTACTGCTCTCGCACAGATCCCGCAGTCTCTCAGAGACAAACCGAGACTCGTTAATTTGATACATCATGCTATTGTGATTTGTGTGTGTATACGTGTACTATCTTTTTAGAATGATGTCAAGCATACTGAATTACACTAATGTAAGCAGCATGTAAGAACTGGCAATGTTATTACTTTGAGGCCACACCAACAACATATTTATCTATAAATAAAAATTGAAATGTTCGTTCGTTCAAAATCGCTAATCTCTGAAAGTTCTTCACCAATTGCTTTGAAATTTTCACACAACGTTCCATTCGCATCCGAGCAGGTTTTTATACACATCCAGATGTCACGTCTGACGATAAAAAAATATGCCTTCTCTGAAAAACTTTCGTGTGTTTTTCATGTGAGGGAAATCCTCGAAACGCCTATTAATTACTTTGAAATTTCGACAACATTGCATTTGAATAGGCACATTTTCATATATATACTA